AAAATAAGCATTTTAGAGCCAAAAAAAAAAAAAAAAAAAGTTGGAGTCGGCCTCTTCGGACAGATGGAAGGGCTCAGACTTGACAGCATCATAGAGTGGTTGCATAAACCAAGAAACATCAGGAATCCATGACCTACAGTGGGATATGAGGCCAAGAAAGGCATAGAGTGGCTTCTGGCCTAACGGCAGTGGCAGGTTCTGGATGGCCTTAACTCTTTCCTCCGTAAGATGCCTTGTTCCATGTAAGAGGCAGTGGCCCAAGAACATGACTGTTGTCGTGCACCATTACAACTTCGGTTTAGAAGCCTTACAGCCTTGGTGTGCCAAATAACATAGTAAACTCTCCGAGGCTTCTTCAGCCGTGGGCAGGTCATCAGCACAGAGGAGAAGGTCATCCACATATTGAAGAAGGACCACTGCCGAATGTTCCTTTTGCCGCGTGTCCAGTATGGTGGTCATGGCTTTGGCGAACTGGCTCAGAGAATTTTGCGCCCCCTCGTGGATAAAAACAAAGAAGTATCTGCATGAGAATACAAGGGAACACTGGAGAATGCATTTGCCAGGTCCACCACGGTGAAATACTTTGCTGTTGGAGGTACCCCTGTGAGTAAAGTGTGGGGATTTGGAACGATAGGTGTCTCTAAGACAGTGGCTTCATTCACTGCTCGGAGGTCCTGTACCATCCTGTACTTCTCTGGTTCTCCTTTGGGTGTCTTCTCTTTTTTTATCGGGAACAAAAGTGTATTACATGGAGAGGTACAAGGTATGAGTGCACCATTTGCCACAAGGGACTTGACCTGCTTCGAAATGGCCTTGGATTGCGCTGATTTCAGTGGGTACTGTGGTTTCCTGGGTAGGGGAGCTCCAGGCTTCAGTTCCACCATAATTGGGGGTACCTTTTAAACGTCCAATATCTTCGGGTCCTGTGGACCATAGACAACTTGGGATTCTGCTCAGCACATCCGGTGCTACGTAGAATGTACCATTGACTTGTAAGACCGGACACACTGGGTAGAGGCGTTGGCCTTCCAGTTGTCTAATTTGGTGTACCAATATGGCCGCCTCCAGGAAGTGTACTGGGCTGGGCAGGAAGGGACAAAGCAGGTGCAGCAAGATGGCTGCCATCAGGAAGTGTACTGGGCTGGGCAGGAAGGGACAAAGCAGGTGCAGCAAGATGGCTGCCATCAGAAAGTGTACTGGGCTGAGCAGGAAGGGACAAAGCAGGTGCAGCAAGATGGCTGCCATCAGGAAGTGTACTGGGCTGGGCAGGACTGTTCCTGCCCTCCTTTGTTCTGAATTCTATCATCATAGGGCGGTGGTTTTAGCACACTTCCATTTTCACTTTTATGATACACATACATTATACAATCGCCTTTTTCTTGAATTTCTTCCAACTATCCTTTATGCAACGCTTTTACAGTTTTTTTTTACAAAGCTTCTGTCACGTTCAGCAAACCTTTTTTCACATAACATTCCTCTCTGTTCCTACAATGATTTGTGCCAGTCCTGACCTTCAGCTTACAAACTTTCGCTACTTTAGATAACTTTTTTAACTGCTTCACTTCCTTCACATCTCTTCACAATATGACATGCCAGTAATCCTTTTCAATATTTAACACATTAATGGTACACATAAACAGTTTTTTTTTTTTTTTTTTTTCCTGTAGCAATACCTGTTCTGTCCACTGCTCTTTGTGGATAACTTTGGCTACATTATACCAAGCTTCTTGCTGTCTTCAGCAAATTTTTGGTCAACTAAGACATCTTTCTTCTCTTCTTTTTTTTTTTTTTTTTTTTTTTTTCTTCGCCATTCTTCTGGCTGTAAACGACCTCCCTTATCTGTGATTCCACATACTTTCACTAACTTAACTAATCCCTTCACATACTGCTCCCCCTCCCTCTGTGCAACCAGGTCACGTCCTAACATTCCTTTCTAGGGGTCTTATCAGCGTCTGACCCATCTCCTCCTCCCTTCTCTGTCCTTCCTAACAGAAATCTAAGACACTTCACAGGCTGCTGTCCAGCCTTTTCTTAACCCTTAACAAACCCCAACCTTCTGTTATGAATGGCAACATTAACTCACAGACACACATTTAGGACATAACATAGCAGTCTATCTTGGTGGGCTATGAGTACAGATCACTGAGTAAATCTTCGTAACCCACACAAACACGGTTACGGCACCACGCTGCCACACTACCGTGACGCGTACTCGACACACCTCCTCTCGTGGTCAACACACAAGGTTACCCACACCCAGAGAAATTATGTGTCAAAACCCTCAGTAGGTCCACTCCTCTTCCACCTCAAGACTGATACATAAAAACAAATACACAACAGAGACCCAGGTAACAGATAAGCACATGCAGGTAGATTTAAATAAACTCCGGGCAAGCAAAGTTACCTGCCTTTAGTGACCTTTAGCAGCCGTACTAGGCACAGGTATGAATCAACAACAAAGACAGGATAAGCAATGGTAAGATAGCAAAATATATCTTACCATGCTCCAGAGGTGATCAATCTCCGGCCTGTCCAGTTTGACTGACACCGAACGCCTTTTCAGGTCGGCTGGCTGCAGGTTCATTACTCAGAGTTCCCGGATTTCTTGGCACCAGTTGTTTTAGTCGAGGACTGAAATCGCCCAGTGCTTATCTGTTCCTGTCCTAATTTATGACGCTAGCTTTGGAATGTGCGCACATTGGAAGGGACTCACGCTGACACACAAGTTCAGTCTATGAATACTTCTAGTTTAATATAATGAGAAAGTGAACTTATATATGCAGAATGATGCAAGAGTCATGTGACAACAGCATAAGCATTATATTAGTCTTTGATTGGTCATTTCCACACGAAAACAATCTCCGTCATGGTATAGGTGTGATCTTCTTCCAGGCCTTATCTTATAGAGAAGAAAAACATTCCTTTGTTTCCCAAATCACACGGTGGGAGGGGGTCTGTGTGTGTGAGCAGACATTTCTTAAGCAAGGATTTCTTATAGTACCACAATTAGTCTTTGATTGGTCATTTCCACACGAAAACAATCTCCGTCATGGTATAGGTGTGATCTTCTTCCAGGCCTTATCTTATAGAGAAGAAAAACATTCCTTTGTTTCCCAAATCACACGGTGGGAGGGGGTCTGTGTGTGTGAGCAGACATTTCTTAAGCAAGGATTTCTTATAGTACCACAAAGCCCAGCAGGCAGAAAATATTCACACAACATATGTATTAAAGTATAAAAGTAAAATATTTATAAAACTTATAGAAATAGCGTATATATATATACAGTCAGGTCCATAAATATTGGGACATCGACACAATTCTAACATTTTTGGCTCTATACATCACCACAATGGATTTGAAATGAAACAAACAAGATGTGCTTTAACTGCAGACTGTCAATTTTAATTTGAGGGTATTTACATCCAAATCAGGTGTGAACGGTGTAGGAATTACAACAGTTTGCATATGTGCCTCCCACTTGTTAAGGGACCAAACGTAATGGGACAATTGGCTTCTCAGCTGTTCCATGGCCAGGTGTGTGTTATTCCCTCATTATCCCAATTACAATGAGCAGATAAAAGGTCCAGAGTTCATTTCAAGTGTGCTATTTGCATTTGGAATCTGTTGCTGTCAACTCTCAATCTCACTATCAGTGAAGCAAGCCATCATTAGGCTGAAAAAACAAAAAACAAACCCATCAGGGAGATAGCAAAAACAGTAGGTGTGGCCAAAACAACTGTTTGGAACATTCTTAAAAAAGAAGGAACGCACCGGTGAGCTCAGCAACACCAAAAGACCCGGAAGACCACGGAAAACAACTGTGGTGGATGACCGAAGAATTCTTTCCCTGGTGAAGAAAACACCCTTCACAACAGTTGGCCAGATCAAGAACACTCTCCAGGAGGTAAGTGTATGTGTGTCAAAGTCAACAATCAAGAGAAGACGTCACCAGAGTGAATACAGAGGGTTCACCACAAGATGTAAACCATTGGTGAGCCTCAAAAACAGGAAGGCCAGATTAGAGTTTGCCAAACGACATCTAAAAAAGCAGTTCTGGAACAACATCCAACATCCAAGATGTCAACAATTTATAGATCAGAAATTGGACAGATGAGACCTGGGAACAACATCCTATGGACAGATGAGACCAAGATCAACTTGTATCAGGTGATGGGAAGAGAAGAGTATGTAGAAGGAAAGGAACTGCTCATGATCCTAAGCATATAACCTCATCAGTGAAGCATGGTGGTGGTAGTGTCATGGGGGCGGGCATGTATGGCTGCCAATGGAACTGGTTCTCTTGTATTTATTGATGATGTGACTGCTGACAAAAAGCAGCAGGATGAATTCTGAAGTGTTTCGGGCAATATTATCTGCTCATATTCAGCCAAATGCTTCACAACTCATTGAACGCCGCTTCACAGTGCAGATGGACAATGACCCAAAGCATACTGCAAAAGCAACCAAAGAGTTTTTTAATGGAAAGAAGTGGAATGTTATGCAATGGCCAAATCAATCACCTGACCTGAATCCGATTGAGCATGCATTTCACTTGCTGAAGACAAAACTGAAGGGAAAATGCCCCAAGAACAAGCAGAAACTGAAGACAGTTGCAGTAGAGGCCTGGCAGAGCATCACCAGCGATGAAACCCAGCGTCTGGTGATGTCTATGCATTCCAGACTTCAGGCTGTAATTGACTGCAAAGGATTTGCAACCAAGTATTAAAAAGTGAAAGTTTGATTTATGATTATTATTCTGTCCCATTACTTTTGGTCCCTTAACAAGTGGGAGGCACATATGCAAACTGTTGTAATTCCTACACCGTTCACCTGATTTGGATTGGTAAATACCCTCAAATTAAAGCTGACAGTCTGCAGTTAAAGCACATCTTGTTCGTTTCATTTCAATCCATTGTGGTGGTGTATAGAGCCAAAAATGTTAGAATTGTGTCGAAGTCCCAATATTTATGGACCTGACTGTATATTTAATAGGAAACGAAATAGGCATTTTACCAAATCCATCACACTGATGCGCACTGATAGGCAGCACTGATATGTGGCACTGATTGGCAGCACTGATAGGTGGCACTGATGGGCATTGGCAGACATCACTGATGGGCACTGAAAGGCAGCACTGATGCATTGCACTGATATATGGCACTGATAGGCGGCACTGCCTGGCACTAATAGGTGGCACTGATTGGTAGCACTGATAGGTGGCACTGATTGGCATTGATAGGTGACACTGAAAGGCAGCTCAGATGGGCACTGATATGTGGCATTGATGTGCACTGGTATGCACTGATATGAGGCATTGATGTGGCACTGATGGGCACTGGCACGTGGCACTGATGGACACTGACAGGTGGCACTGCTAGGGCTACACTGATCATCAGGGCACACTGATGTTCAATGTACATGTCCCCTCCTCGGAAAGCCGATTACCGGCTCTCCTCTCCTCTGTCAGCGTGACAGCTCGAGAGGAGAGAAATGCCGATAACAGGCATTTCCCTGTTTACATGTAATCAGCTGTGATTGGACACAGCTGATCACATGACCGAGCGGACATCTTTGGCTCTTTTCCTGATCAGTGATCTGCTGTATCTGAGGGACACAGCGCACCGCCGATCGCCGCGCACTCCCTGAGCCGCGCATGCACGGAGAATAGGAGGACGTCATATGAGCCAATCACAGCAAGTGATGTATTCTATTAATGAATACAGAGCCTGCTCGGATTGGCTGCGTCAGAGAGGCGAGCTGATGATGTCACAACTTCAGCCAATCCGAGCAGGCTCTGTATTCATTAATAGAATACATCGCTCGCCGTGATTGGCTCAGCGCGGTATACTGTATGTAGCCGAAGCTACCGTACAGTATTACTGCACATCCAGAGGGCTGACATTCTATACACCGCGTATAAGACGACCCCCAATTGTTGGGGTATGTTTTTAAGTATAAAAAGTCGTCTTATACGCCGGAAAATACGGTATTCCTGTTTTGCTATAATCGATGGGGATCCTAGCACCTGGCCCACCCACAACTTTTTCATGCACATGAAGTCTGTCTGGGTCAAATGGGTTTCTTGGAGTAAGGCTATGTCTGCTTTTAGTCACTTCAGGTGGCGCAGGATAGCCATGCGTTTGTGAGGTGATCTTAGGCCTTTGACATTCCAGGAAATTATGCATATCATTGTGATAAATTGACTGAGGTGTGGCTGAGGGTATACTATATATGATTTTGTGATGTGTCCCTCCCTACCCAGATCCAATAACAAGTTCTGACTGGGGTTGGTAACTCTCCAGTAGTGGCTCATGTTCTTCGGGGAAATAAGGTAGATTAATAAGATAGAAAAAACATAGAAAAAGGCATACAATGGGCCCAACAGGGGCCTGCTGGGGAGAAAAAATATACAACAAACCAATGTAATAGTTTGGACTTCACGTTTTTCCACATGGTACTCCTTTACTACGACCAGTGTAACCGGAGAATTCAAAGAAATTAACCCGCCATGGAAGCATAGCTGTTTTATGGTTGAGAGCTTCCAGTCGGGTAACTCCGTTAGTCAGAGTGGAATCCAGGATTCCAATGTCTTATAGATTTTTGTGTGTGTTCGGAGTATGGAGGACGGTGGGAAAAATGGAAAACATATCAGATAGCATTTTGGAAGTTATGACAACAGTTTAAATGCGTGTATCAAATAAAAAACAACTGGAGGTAAGGATATGTCTTCTGATGCAGAACAGTTGAACTTTGACATCTCTTGAGGAGATGGAGTAGAAGTTAAAGATTTGGCGAGCTGGAGGTCTTTGAGAGGTGTGCTAGATGTTGGAGTAGAAGCGAGATCATGGAGGCCGTAGCTTTCCAGTGTGTTGGTTCACACGTGCCTTTTTGGAGGGTCTTTACGGGGACTGCATTGATCCATGGGGCCTATTGCCCGGAAGGGTTGGAGGGAGTTAGACGAGGCGTCTGCTTCGCTTAGATGGGTCTGCAGGAAATGTGAAGCTTTCTCTGGGTGAGTGAAGGCTTTTTTTTCTCCTGTGTGTGTGGTAAGCCGTAAAATAGCAGGATAAGCAAGAGTAAATTTAATGCCTTTTTGGTGCAGGAAAACACAGATGGTTTGAAAGCCTTTTTGTTTACTTGACACTTCTTGTGAGTAGTCCGCGAATAAAAGCAGTTTATGGCCTTCTATTTGGAGAGAGCTGGAGTTGCAGAATGAGTTGAGAATAGCTACTCTATCTGTGTAGTTGGGGTGTATTTGGCAATCACTGACCGTGGCGTGCATCTGTCTTTAGATGGTGCACCTAAGCGGTGTGCTCTTTCCACCTGGCATGGCGAGGCTAAGGAATACGTGTGGTGCAAAGATCCAAATAAGCTCCTGTATTGTAAGATTCAGGGAGTCCTATAATGCACAAATTGTTTCTGCGCGAGCGGTTTTCTAAGTCATCCAATTTTCCCAAAATGGTCTTTTGCGCGTGCGCAACTTGGTGTGCCCCCGCTTGAACAGAATGGACTTCATCCTCCAAATCAGAAAGCCGCTGTTCTGTTTCAGATAAACGCTTCACATAGTTACCCAGATCCTTCCTAAGTTGTTCTATGCCCATTGATACTGCTCTGTCCACAGCTATAGTGATAGTAGGTGAGAGTAGGGTAGCAACAGCCTGTGCTATTTTTTCATATTGATCTACCTGGATATGAGTGTCAGGTTGTGCTGTGACTGCTGGAGTCTTTGTCTCTGGCATACCTGTTTCCATGCTGTCGGTGGCCATCTTGGCTGCAGAAGAGGGAGATCTGCACGCCTTGGGCCGTGGAGCGGGTGTGAGGAGTCAGGAGGAGCCGGCAACAAGTACCGGTCCATGCAGGGGAGTGATCTCAGGGCTTGTGGCTGGAGTCCCAGAAGCAGGAAGACGTTTTTGTAAGCCGGGGGATCCTGTGCCGCAAGTTCCGCATCCCTTACATGCAGAGCGGAACCAGAAGTCCTCAATTTGTTCTGTTTTAAAGGGATGAGGTGGCAACCCTAGCTTCAAGGCACATACGATATCTGGCTCACCTAAGGGATCATCGTAGGAGAGCAAATGCAGAGATCAGTCTTTAAAGTGGCATATTAGTTTTAGAGAAACAGGAAAACTAATGCTCGTTTGGATGGTTTGCTGGGGCTGCAGTTTCTTCCAGAATTTTATGGGTCATATCTGCACCAGGGGCAACTCATCAAGTTCGCTGAAATGCACAGGGGAAAAATGTGTAGGTAGGTGGTGCTGCGTGGACTGGTGAAAGTATTAAAGAAGGATTTGTGTTTGGAGCTCTATGAGACAAAACCTATTATTTTCCATTTTGAAAAGGCATTGAGGTTGCGTAAAAAAAAAATCTCTTATTTTAGCAATTCTGGCCATGTAAACAAAGGGGCAGGGATAGTGACATTACTGACCAAATATAGCCTTATTTCAGGGCCTGGGAGTGATGATTCTGTGTTGGTCAGTGAGGAAATTGAACTTGTCCATCACTCAGCATGATTTTTTTAATTGGAGGGCATTGTTCATTGTGATTGACATGCATCTTCATTTTCTGGACAATTTGATTGAAGAGATATATACAGCATCAGTCATTTTTTTAAATAAATACTTGCACATGGGAGGCACAGTACCTGAAAGCCTCCTTATTGTCCATGGGGGTTTCCAGATCTCAGTAAGCCACCTGCCAACAGACCACCACAACCACTTGGCCCGGGTTGGGGAGAAGAGACCCTCATCCTCATCAACATGTGGGACACCCTGGCAATGTACCTGCCTATGTTGAGGGCATGTAGCCTGGTTTGGTTTAGAAGGAGGGTCCCCATGGTCATCCCACTTCCTTTCCTTTTCTTCCAGGCTACATGATCAGATAAGGCTCTGGTATGGAATATAGGGGACCCCTTGCCTTTTTATTGGCTGGAGTCCCCTATTAACATTTATATCAGACCCTTATCTAGGATAAGGGTCTAGTATAGATGAAAGGAATCCTTCAGCCAATGCTGTCATTGGTCAACAATTTATACAGCATCATACAAATATGCCACTTCACAGGCAGGTAAAGGGCATCCCTGAAGCATATGATTTAAGCATTTGTCTACCAACACTGTTTATAAATTAATTTTTAAAAATCTTTAATGATCAAAAAAATACTTTAAAGTCCTGTTTTATATGGTTTCTACCTTCAATGTGTTTACATTAGAGGACTAACAAGCCGCCAAAATTCTTGTGCAATACAAAGTAAAAGAAAAAGAACTATGGTTTCAGTGCTTCTGTTGTGAACTATGAATATTTATTTTATTATATTATATGAATATTTATTTCTCCACAATGCCTATAGCTACAGAGATTAATTATGGCTTATTTCAAACTGTTTATACTTCTTGTTCAGAATATGTAGATACTTTAGTGTGCATAGTCTAGATCCAGATAACCTATGAGATGACACTAGGGTATGTGCAAATTTAAAACTCAGAAGTCCCAACCTATATAACAGTTTTAAGCAGAAAAACACATTTTATAGTTATTACCTCTTGTTACTTAATGGGGGACTCAGGGATCCCTGAGGAACTCATGTGATCTGTGATGCAACACGTTGGAGGATGGAGTTGGGTGACAGAAGGTACTTTCAATGTGTTGGAACGCAGATGAGTTTACTTTTTATGTAAGTGACATTCTTTTTTTATCAATAAAAAATGTATTATCAAGTACTGCACTATGGGTGGCCCCCTTTATTATTCTTCCATTTTAGCACATACCAAGTTGAATTGTGAGACCTTTCCCATAGAGGAGAGAGAGCAGAGTATAATCCATGGATGGTGTGACAATTTAAGCAATTCTGACTTATATGAGAATATGGGTCCCATATGAAGGTGACCAGCCATTCTGCACAGACAGTGGAGCACATATGTATTTTTACCACAGAAGGGAAGTCACTGGCATGAAGGATTGACACAGCACAGATATCCATCCATATTAACTTCATGCTGTGGACATTTTTGTTGGTACATTGGTCACCAGTACTATTAATTATTACCACTATCACTGTATATATTAGGTGACACATAGTTATTTATAATTTTGGTATTTATATAAATTTGGCACATGATATGCATTGTTTATGAAGTATAAGCTATTTTATTTATGTTGTGTATATTGATCAATTCTGTATATTGTATTTTATTTATTTTTGTATATTGGCTTAATTCAAAGAAGTATAGATTTGCAGCATTGGGGATTTGGTAGAGTTACAAATGGTTTGTGTATTATTAGAGTGAGAATGCGCTACATCACTATCTTTGGCTTATCTGATTCACTGTGGAATATCACACAGCTAGGTGTCAGCAGCATTCTCTTTAATTTATTTTTCAATTTATCAATTTACT